CCTGACTGCAGCTGCCTGTGCACAGGGGCGTGCTGTGTGCCACCACCTCCGTCCCTCGTCTGCCACAGCGGGTGAGCTCTCCTTGCCCGCTCCCTCTGCGCAGCACCTCCATGTGGTAGGCCTTTTACACACAGCTGTTGAGTTGGCTTGAATTTGACTCCCGCGTTAGTTCTGATCAAGAGTCCCAGAGCCTCCGGCAAGTGGGACTTCTGCACAGCTGTACTGGATGGTCTTTGCTGCCTGGAGTCTCGCCCTGGGCTTGTTCACAAGCACATGATCACGTTCTGAGGAGGGAGTGGATCACGGGCAGGGTGCAGTGTTTGGAGGGTCACTTTTGAACCATCGGTGGCAATGATGAGTTCACTAACGAGCAGGCTCCTGTGTATCGCTTCCCTCTGCTGGGTGGAGTTGGAACTGCTCAGTTGTGTCTTAGGGCCTATATGGAGAATTTCCTTAAGTCCTGGGTGCAAACCCTCCTCGGACTCTGGGCCGGATTCATGGGGTGGCAGTGGTCACCCTGGAAGCAGTGGGGCAAGTGCCTGTGAGCCAAGCCAAGATGGGCAAAGTGGCCTTGTCCAGCAGGGCTTCAGATTCCACGGCAGCTGTGCATGCTGCTGGCTATCCCCAACTTGTGGTAGCCCAGTGGGCTGCATAGAGGTGGCTGGCTGCCTGGATCTGGCTTGCAGGCTGTATGTTTGACACTCCTGCCATAAGTTCAAAGAAGGACCTCCTGTTCCTGGAGAGCAGGGGTTTGTGAAATCTCTCCCTGCAGTTGCTAAAAGTTCATTGGGTGGGCAGCAGAACAACAGCTGTGCATGTGCTAGGAAGCCATGTTTTTGCTGCAGTGCCTGAAATGTGATATTTTCCCTCTATAAACTCTGAAGTGATGATCCTAAGACCATGAGAAACTGCCACTCAGGTACCCTTACCATGAGCAAGATGACAGGCTTAGAGTGACATTATATGCTGAGCTTAACATTATGTACAGTTAAAATGCAAGCAGATGCACATTCAAGCAGTTGAGCACACTTTAAGTCCCCCTGCAATGGCATTGTGAAGTTGTTCCCTTTCAGGCAAGAGTTGTCCCCTAACACATACTAACTTGAATAGGGTGCTACATTCCAGTGACTTGCAGCAGTTAAAAGTGAATGTGTGACAAGGCCTTTAGATCAGAGGTGCCCAATCTTTTCACTCTGGGGGCTAGATAGGTGTTGCCATGTCAGTCCACAGGCTGCATCTGATCCACAGGCCAGTACAGTGCACATTGTTGGCCTAGTCTAGGGCCAGTCCAACTGCAGGGGGCCTGTGCCAGTATTAGCCACCTGAGGCTTGGCATTTTGGCAGGGGGGGCAGTGGCAGTGTTAAATGCCACCACTCCCTTGTTGCCCAACTTCTGGACCCATCTGGCCAGATGACATGGCTTTGTCCAGTTCTCACCTGCAGGCTGTGGATTGAGCACCCCTGCCTTACACAGCTGCAGAAACAACCCAGGGGGCAGGAAGGATGTGATCAACCCTTGCTTCTGTACTGATATAATCCCTAATTTGTTTTTCCTGTCTTTGCAAACACGCCTCCTGTCATGCCATTCTGCCAGAATGAAAGCAAAGTCCTGATACTCCAGCATCCCTGATGTTGCTGATGCTCCCTGCACTGGGTGCATTACTTGTGCTTCTGGATGTTGGAGCAGGCCTGATTGCAAGTTGTCTGGAAGGCCATGTCACTACCTGCCATGCCAAAATGGGATGCCAAAGTACGTCAGATTTCTTAGTAATGACTTTTTGTCAGTTAGTTCCTCATTATTAAAGGGAAACTGTCAGTTCAGTCACTTCTGCCCTGAAGCTAGTTCACATCTTGCTGCCACAACAGAACAAGGAGGAACGGTCTCAAGTGGCAGCAAGGGAAGTTTAGGTTAGATATTAGGAAGAATTTTAGGAGGGTAGTGAAACGCTGGAACAGGTTACCCAGAGGTGGTGGAAGCTCCATCCTTAGAGGTTTTCAAAACCCAGCTAGACAAAGCTTTGGCTGGGATGATCTAGTTGGGGTTGGTCCTGCTTTGAACAGGGGGTTGGACTAAGTGACCTCCTGAGGTCCCTTTCAGCCCTAACTTTCCATGATTCTAAAGAACAACTATGTGTGCTTGTAGTAATGGTGAATTAAAGGGAAATTTCCTCAACTCCGTTGCAAAAAAGGTATTCCTTTTGGTCTTTTATACAGCTTCTCTCCTCACTTTCAGTCATTCTGTTCTGATTGTGGAGTTCTCTGAGGCAGCAGCAGGGAGTGGGAGAAGTCCTGGAAAAATCAAGCTTTTAAAAATCATATTTTCCTGTAGCTGGACTTGAGCCACTGCCTACACTGCATTACCATTCGCTCCCTGGCAGCAGGCCCTTGGAATCTGCAGTGACAAGACAGCGCATGTGTTAACACTTAATGTCGTATAACTTTTATCATATCCTGAGCAGCTGCTGAAACATCAGCTCCTCTCTGGAGTCAAGTGGATGGGCCTTTTTGGGTTGTATTGGAACACGAGCACGGCATATCCAATCCATTCCCCTCTATCATGCAAGGGCCTGGCCATTGACTTGTGAGAGCAGGGCTTGGCAGTAGATGGTGCATTTCTCTCTTGGTGCCACGTGTTGCCTGTCTGTAGAAGCTGGGTGGGTTGGTGAATATGGGGTAGAGGCTGTAGGTGCCTGCTTTGTTCACTTCCTCAGTTGATTTGCTTCCTTGCTATCATAGTGCAGATGCAGGCTGCTAATACAGAACTGAGGCTCAAATAATGCATCTCTCCCCATTGCTGCTATAACCTTCAGCTCCAGTGATGCCCTGCCCTGCCCTGCCCCAGCTAGGCTCCCTTCCAGATATCATTCAAAAATTCATGGACTCATAGAAGATTAGGGTTGGAAGGGACCTCAATAGGTAGATCATCTAGTCCAACCCCTAAAAGAACTACTGACCATAAAGACACTTGAACCTTTAATCTTCTAATCCAAAGTCAGACACCTTATGCATTAGGGCACACAGGTAAGGATGGATACAAACAGTTCCAGAATCGCACACCTTCAAGGTTCAATCCCAGTAAAATCACTTGAGGTTTATTTGTGTTGCTCTGTTTTTGTGGCTACAGGGGTTAAACCATTGCATAATCTAATGCTTCTCGTAGTGGTAACATACTTTCCATGTGGATTTATTTTTTCTCCTGGTATATCAGAATTCTTTCCACTTTGGGCCTTGCCATTTTAAAAACAGCACTAATTCAGGATTTCTGGACCAGCCTCTGGCTCACTGAGGCTGTAATTTTTGCAAAGAGATGTGTTGGAGCCAGCAGTACGCTGCCAGCTGTCCATCAGCTTGAATTTATGTGGCTCTGGTGTAAAGCCTTGCTACTGTGTGTATCCAGTTCTGTGCATTTCCTCTCTAGTGGATCTGCATCTTGTGTGCAAACTGGGTGTCTGGGGCAGAGCCACGATTTGCTGTCTGCACACCCCTGCTCAGGGCATCCAGACCCTGCTGTAAGATCCCAGCCCAGCTGCAGAGCAGCTCCGCATCCTGCAGCATACCCTGGGTCCCGTCTTCACGGAAATCCAGCCCTGAACCATTACAGCATGGCTGCTGCTGGGGTCTCCATGAAAACCAGCCCCAGCCACGTGAGCGGGGGCTGCTGGGAAATGGAGTTCGGCTGCTGGCCGGATCCGCCATTTACCCACCCCTGAACTATAACTTTTTAAAAGTCACCTATTACAAAAAACCCCAAAATAAGCAACCTCCAAATAAAACAAGCCCCCAAAAATGCAGCCCGTGACTCTCAAAAAATTAAAATGACTTTTTAAAAAAACAAGCCCAATTCCATTTATTATAAGCGGACTTGGCAACCTTGAGCCTAATCAGGACACCCTAAACATTCAAGGACACAGTCAAGCCATAGTCTTGTGTGTTTGCAAATGAGCCTTTGGCAGCTTTTCCTTTCCTTAACTGCTGCTCTGTTAATACACTTGTGGGAATGGCTCCTTGCAGAGTCCTTTTTCCCAGGCAGTATAGCACTCCAGGCTCATATACTCCCCCTCTATCTCCGCCCTCCCTCCACCCTTCCCAGCACAGTCTCTCACCGGTGACAGTGCAGGGGATCTGTGCTGATTCTGTCTGCAGAGCTGCAAATCCAGCCACTCTTGGGCAAACTGAGTAAGACCTCTCAACCTCTGAAAAAAAAGTCAAAGGCCCTTGTGCACAGGGAAGGTCACCAGCAGAACTTAACCGCAACAGCTGAGCTGCGAGAGTCACTTTCAGAGCACTGTCTATAGAAGTGGTTTAGGATAAGTCAAAGAAAAGCCCCCTCTCTCCCACAAATGTGCCTGTGCTGTGTTTTGCCACATAGTTCAAGTGGCTAATTGTTCTGGTAGAGCTCAGCTGGGAAACTGTCTTGGGTATGGAAGTCCATAATAACTGAGTCAAAGTGGAAGACTTGTGTTATCAAGATTTCATCATTCTTGACTAAACAAACTTTCAGACTTTTGTTGAGGGGTTTCTTGGCCCTGAAATCTGCTGCTGTCTTTATGGTGATGAATTTTCTTCATTTGGAGGTCTAGGAACCTGCTGCCAGAGTGGTCTTTGCTCCTGTTGGGATTGGGGGTGGTTTCTTGGGGCTGGGAAGATCTGGGAGACATTTTGTCTGGTACAGACCAGACTGGGGGACTTGACTTCAGGTTGCTCTTTCAAATAAGCTTTGTGACTTTCCTGGAGCCAGAGATGGGCACAGTGGAAAAAACCAGGGCCTGGCATGCCAGACTGAGTTAAGAGTGCACAGCAGAAGCCTGCTTTAGGATGCCTTATCCTTGTTCAGCCTTCCTGGCCCCTAGCTGTCACAGCGACAGGCAGTAAAGGCACTGCCCCTAGCAGAAAGCACCTCCCTCCCACCTTGGAGAGGGGGGTCCCTTCCCAGACAAGAGAAGTTTCCACTCTCGTGCCCCTCTCAACACTTTATAACCGCTCTCCATTCTTGTTGGCAGGCACTGAGGTGGTTCCTAGTTACACACCCAGCATGACGGATGCCCCCAGAGACTCCGGCCTCAAACAGGCCGCGCCAACGCGGACAGAGAAGCCTGCTGTGGACTTTGGCTATGTCGGCATCGATGCCATCCTCGAACAGATGAGGAGGAAAGCGATGAAGCAGGGATTTGAGTTCAACATCATGGTGGTCGGTGAGTCCTCAGGGGCCACTCTCCTCAGGCTCTGTCTGCAATGTGCATTGCCTCCTAGCGCTCCATCTGTCTTCCCTTGTAGAGCAGCGTCTAGGATTGAACATGAGGATCTTTTGAGCGGGAGTCAGCAAAGCTGCTCCTGCTTCCGAGGGACTGGCTGAAGGTCAGCTGGTTGGAAGTGCCTATTTATCCATGTGGCTGTGCATGGCTCCCAGATGTTAAGGATTTATTTGCCATGTGGCTGATGTCTGTGGGATCATGGCTTTTTAGTGCCATGGTCCCTGCTACCAAGCCGCATCGTTGCCACCTAATTTCTGCCATGATCCACACTGCCTCTGCATTCCTGTTCAGTCCCCCATGCAGTGGTTTGGTCCAAGCAGGAGGCCAGGAGGAACTGGCTAGACTTCAGCCTCCTTCTGTAGGCATGTACACCTCCCGGCATAATGGGGCCCCATCTCAGCTGGGGCCTCTTGGTGTCATTGGAGAGTTTCCCCAAATCTATGGGGGCATTTATACGTGTACCTTTGTTTGCTCCAACACGCCAAAATCCAGTGCGTTGGAGCAGACTGGATTAATAGTCTGTGGAGCATGTAAGCTAATACGCCTGAAGCTGTGTCACATGCATTTGTATAAATGGCAAAATGCACTTCAGCATGCAGAACGTGGCGGTGGTGCACTTTTGCACCTTCAGTGTGTTTTAATTTAAAAGCGTGCTGCCTCCGTTTTCTCACCGCTGATGCTCATTTCGCTGTTTATACAAATGTATGTGCCACAGTGCCGGGCATATTTAAAAACGCCTGGCGCTGCAGCACATGCATGTGTACAAATGCCATGGGTTTGCATGATATGAGTGCAGGATGGAGTCTGGGGAATCTCACTCCACAATTGTCTTGGCTTTTCCTCTAGGTGACCTGGGCAGGGGGCGGAGATGTTATAGTTGGGGGCATGCACAGGAAGCACAACTTGGAAACTGAAGTCATCATTACCCATGGCAATGGTCCTGTGGCTCAGGCTGGCCATGCACAGCACAACTCAGCATAAGCACCAAGTCTTGGTTGCTCTGCAGATGTGATTCTGAAGCACAGAGTTTTCAATGCTAATTAATTGCCTTTGCTTGATAACGCACAAACCACTTGCTGATGGATGCTAGATTGAAGGATGGCAGAGAGCAGCAGGGAAGGAAGTTGCTCAGGTGGTTTGCTAATGTGATTATGAAATGCTGAGGAAGCTGGTATATAATTTTGAAGCTCCCCTGGCTGGACTGTTTGCCAGCTTGAGAGGTCTCCAGCATATAGAAGTTTCCCCTGGGATCCTGAAATGCAGTGTGTGCTGAAATGGGAGTATCCCTGGGGCTCAGGGCAGGTGAAGAAGGAGAGCTGAGTTTACTCTTCTTTCCAGGCTTGCGAGTTGCAAGCTCTGGGCCAAAATCAAACTGTCAGGAGGCTGATGTTGTTGAGGCCTGATCTGCCCTTTGGAGCTACAGTGAATGAGAAGTGAGAAAGATGGAGGTTTGCCCTCAGGTCATTCCCCAACAACCACTCAAACAACTTCCCCTTGCTTGAGGCCTGCTGCCTCCTTACACTGCTCTACCTGCTTTTTACTGCCATGGCTGCCTGTGTCTTTTGTGTGAACCCCTAATTTCAGGGATTTGCAGCTTGGCTGCAACCAACTTGTTCTTGGCTAAAAATGCCTGTGTCAGCAGGTGATGGTTGAAATTTGAAGTGAAGAGCATGTGGGTGTTCTTGACTGGGCTGTGAAAGGGGAGGTTTTCCCTGAGAGCGAACTTGGAGACATGTCTGTAGATGTAGGCCAGCGCTCCTTTTGCTATCAGCATGTTTGCAGAGAAGTGACATCACAGCCCCAGGCTTAGCAGCCTGCCCCTAGCAGTCATTATCAGGTTGCAAGGTAGATGATGAGGTGGCCTGGGCCTTTCAACTCGGTCCGGGGTCCAGGGGTCCAGCTGCATCCTTTGTGATGGGTACGGAGTCTCCAGTGGTGAGAGCTGCTCTCTGTGCCTGCAGCAGCACAAGGGTGTCAATGAGAACGTGGCGGGAGGAGAGCGCCAGGCAAGCCCCCCTGTGTTTCCTGCTGCTGGCTGTGCAGAGTAGTGGTCAGCTGCCCCCCTCTGCAGTGAAGGGTGTATAATGCTCTAGAAAAGTCTGGGGACTGAAAATGAATGTGCTGGCTCAGTGCACTCCAAAGTGCATCAGGCCTTATAACCTGTCCTTTTACCTCCACTCTCCTGGGAACTTGCTTCTGCCCTGGACTTCTCACATCTTGCCATGCAAGCTCCACTGCCTTGTGGCACTGCCTTTTCACATGACTCCAGAGAGCTAATTATACAGTGAGCCCAATGCAAGCCCTACACTTGGACCAATTCCTGGAGGTTTCCCAGGGTGTCTTCCCCAACACAGCTGCTGTTCAGCATTTTCAGCCAAGTTCCCGTATGTGGGGGGTTCTTTTAGATCCTCAGCTTCTGAGTCCCTCTCTGGGAGGTGAAGTTACACGAGCTGCTGCCTTAAGTCCTGGCCAGGACAGGACTCGCTGCTGCTCTGCCCCTGGATTCACATTTGTGCCCACAATGCTGAGGGTTCTTCTTTTGGCCTCCAGAAGTAGGCTGCCTTGAGGAGGCTCCTCTTTCTACTGTGCTGATGACTGGGATAGGTTTCAGAGGGGCCTGGCCTTGCCTTGGCAGAACGCTGTGTGTGGTATGAAAGCCCCTGCTTCGCGGCGGCTGGAAAACATTGTTCTTTTCTTGGCAGACTCTGCATGGCGTGTTTATAGGCTGGGGAATTCATGGCAGTGTAAACAAGCTTGAAAATCTCCAGTTATCACAGAGAAACACAGGGCAGGAGCTAGAGTAAGGGGGCAAGGCAGCACATGTAAATGGGTGGGTAACCCCTGCATAGGATCAGTGAAGAGCCCCTTGAACTGGGACATGCGTTCCCTGGATGCCTTCACTCTCCATTTGACTGCTCTATGCCAAGGCAGGGGGATAACAGGCTTCTTCAGCCAGTACATGTATGGGCAAAGGCATGGGGCAGCTGCTTATTTCAGGACTCCCGTTAAATGGGGCTGTTTCTCTGGGGCAGAGCTCATGTGTTTGAGGAGCAGTCACTGTACCTGGGTGCCTGTACACCCCCCTGAAGCTGATCTGGCAGCTGCCTCTCACAAGTCTCTCAGAGAAAGGGGAATGAACCAAGCATGATTTGTTCTTTCTCCCTTATGGATTTAGTCCACTGCATGTGTCCTGGGCCATCCAAACAGGCTCTGTGCACTTAATGTGATCCCTGAATTTGAAGAACAGCAGGTAAACCTCTCTAGGAGGGTAGCTGCTCATGTGACTAGCTTGCAGTTCTTCAGAGAAACCCTTGACTTTGCAACATCTTTTTCATTGAGTTCTTGCCTGTCCTCTTTTTTTCAGTAGCACCCAGGTGGGTGAGCACACTCCAGTAACACCCAGGCCTTTTCATGTCCCACATCCCTCTAGCATGTAAGCACCTGCAGAGGTGGAGAAGAATCATAATTATCATTGCCTCCATTTTATAGATAAGGAACTGAGGTTCAGTAAAGTCTAGTGACTGGCTTGGGATTGCATTTTGAGCCTATAGTAGTCCCAGCTCCACTGCCTCGCTACAGGACGATCTTTTCTGTGCAGCACATAGCTTATTCAGTTGGGTTAACTACTTTTGCCCTGACTACACCCTTCACAACAGGCTCTCCCATGGCCTTTTGCCACCATAGCCTTATTTGCTGGCGTGTCATCCACCCTGGTCTGTCTCTGAGCTTTGATCAGATCCATGAAAGTGAGTCTTCAAGTTGTGGGGCTGCCTGGGTTCTCCAGAACTGATTGAACACCTCAGTCCTTGCCACTTTGGGTCTGGGGAGAATCAGGTAAAGGTCTATGTAAAATACACCCTCCTCTTCCTTTATTTTGCCCTGGATATTGATGAATTGCAGAACAACAACACGGACTCTGAGGAACTCTGTACTGACCAGGAAGCTGAGAATCCAGACCCACACCTTTAATGCTAGCTCCTGGAAGATGCTGTTTCTCCTCTTGCCCTTTTGTCTCCAGATGAAGTCACGCTTCAGCTATTTGCATGGAGGCAGGCGCAGGGGCTGACTAATGCAAGCTGCAGCTATGTGTCACCTCTTAACGTTTTTTTCCTTCCCAGGTGCTTCTAATTACCAGGCCCCCAAAAGGAACTGCAGATTAGCCAAGTGTGTTTACAGTTCAGAATCTGTTTACCCTTGTGCTGCTTGATGAAAGGCTGAGCAAAGGGCATGGAGCACTTGGCGGGTATCTGTTCCATATGTTTCTTTTGCCCCCAGAGCTGTTTTAGCTGCTGACAAGCAAGTCGGCACAGTGGAGCCCACATGGCTCTGAGGCTGGATTTGGTCCTGCCTCTCGGCATCAACAGAGCCACGGGACTCTGGCTGCAGAACTGTTGCCAAGGCGGGGGTATCAGGCCGATGCCTTTGTTCTTCAGCTTGTTGATGGTAAAGACCCCAGCTGAGATGGGGCCCTTCATTAAAGCACTGTCCAGCCACATGTTAAGAGACAATGGCCCGTCTGGCACAGCACTAGGTAATCCTCAGTAGCCGTGGGGCCGTGTGGTGTGTTGGCAGATTCCTTTACAAGTATAAAGGCCTGTTGCTGTCGTGCCATTCAGTGGCACTGTTTACCCTGGGCAGTCTGCACACACCCATCGCTGTCTGGAGCTGTCTGTCTTGTGCAGTGCAGAGGAGACGGGTAGGAGCGCGGTCGCTCCTGCTGGACCGTCCAAGCAGGTAGTCTGGCAGCTGTAGCGTTGGCCAGTCTTCTCTCCTGGTCTTTTTAAGGCCTGCCTCAATGGATGTGGTCCTAGCACTGAAGCTGTCTGTGCCCTGCTTCCTCTGCCTTTTCTTTTAAGAACCGATTGGTTGCCCCTGCCTTGTCCATGTGGTGCACTTTGTTCATGAGTAGCTTTTCCTTATTCCCATCTATCCTATGACACGTCAGTGCAGACACACCTTAGCAACATGGCATCGAAGAAACAATGCTTTTTCACAAGAATTTGCATCAGGGCCAGAACAGAGTTGGTAAGAATTCACTTTGGCACTACCAGAACAGAGTCATTGAGTCTGGTGTGCTGAAAGGTTCATTCAACAGTATTTCTGTGGTCAAAGATACTTCCGCCTCAGAGCTCTTTGCAAGGTCTGTGCGGTCTGGTCACAAGAACAAACTTGACACAGGAGAAAGGGTCAATCAAAAGTTCAAATGGGTTAGAAGATCCCAGGGAACTCTTGCTCTTCCCTAACTGGCCATGAGCTGTTGAGCTGTTAGTGTCTCCCACTAACCCACTTTGTTCATCGGTGACCAGTATGAGAAGTACTTGCAGAAGGGCATCAACATTAACCAGAAGAAGCGGATCCCAGGCATCCAAGCGCATGATAAGGATTCCCTCCTGGAAAGCGGGGCTCGCTGCAGTTGGTCTTCTAGGGCTGGGGCAGTAGGTTTGATGGGGGCGGAGAGTTTAAACTGAGCACATGAAGCACTCTTGCAAGGGCTTCCCGGACATGGGGTTACAAAACGAGTGGCCCTCCTGCTGTTATCTGAGGCCTCCCTTTGCCTACAGGTGGGATATCTCTTGAGGATTTTCTCATGCAAGTATTGTGCTGTTTCTCCTGAAACACTGATTTAAATGGACAGATTTAGCTTAAACAGCTTTGCCCTGTGCTGATCTGACTCTCTTAAGAGGCCCTTTGCCCTCCGGCCCTCTTAAATCAGTCCTGACTCGAGAGCAGCTGTGTCATCTGTTTGCTGAGAGAACCGATCAGTCCCTTGACTTAATTTACTCCCTTTTTGTGACGCCAGCCATAACTCACCGGGTTGTTGGTTTAGTGAGCCATTAGGATCTATCCCCTGCAGGATTTATTGAAGAGCTGGAGAAGGTCTTCTCCTAGGGGAAATCAAGAACTTGGGATCAGCTGTGTAGAAATGGAAATGAGGATACCAGAAATGTGTGGTGGGGTTGTCAGGAGGTAGACCCCTGGGAGGAACCCCCATGTCCATCCTTCCTTCGTGGCCCTTTCATCTGTGAGTCCCTTAAAGAGGATCTCCCTCACCCAGGAGCCTTTGTGCTGCTGCTTCCCATGCTCATAGTAAGCAAAGAAATAAATTGACTGCAGGTTCAGTGCCAGGGTCCTCAAGGTCAGAAATGGAACTTCATAAGCATCGCCTCTCGTGCCGAGTGTGTCATAACCCCCTATCTCTATTCACAAGAGCCTGGGTGCCTGCATTTGCCATCGCAGAGCCCAAAAAACAGATGTATGTTGTTTCTACTGCTCATGGGCGTAGGGAAATGTGTTGATTACCAAAGGAAGTGGTTTTCACTGAGCGCTGCTGGACGGTGTAAAGTGAAAGCATCCCCGCTAACAGCTGAGCTGTGGTTCTACTGCCCCACCCCCTCCAATGAAGCTAAACAGACAGATTTAGCCCAATCTACCTTGTGACATGATCAGGATTTAGCCCAATCTACCTTGTGATGCCCCAGCCTTAAGAGATCCTTTGCCCTCTGGCCCTATTAAATCTGACCTGTCTGTGGAGCAAGAGTAGGTACTCAGTCTCTTAACTAACAAGTAGCATGAGAAATAAAACTTTCCCCTCCCAACACAGACTTGGGCTAAAGGAACTGCTCCCCTGTGTCAGCTGACTGAAGCACAGAATGAGAGTGCATCTACAATGGCTTAGCTATGAGAGGGCACCAGGTGTGCCCGAGCCAATGCATGGTCCTTGTCTTATGGGAAGTGCCATCCGGCAAGACAGCAAGCTCAATTTCACAAAGGACCTGTTGGCTGTTTGCAAAGCTGTTGGTAGCAGAGTTGGCCCTGCCTTCGTAGCAGATACAATCCTGGTGTATGCTGGGCTGACTGCAGGGAGGGGAAGTGGACATGATTTCACTCTCACAGCCACACATCCTGTTGTCTTCCAGGTCAGAGCGGCTTGGGGAAATCCACATTAATCAACACTCTCTTCAAATCCAAAATTAGCCGGAAATCTGTGCAGCCAACTCCAGAAGAGCGGATCCCCAAAACCATTGAAATAAAGTCCGTTACTCATGGTGAGTCTCTCTGCAGGGCCTGTATACACACTTGGCTTTGGGTGCTGCAGGTTCGCTTTGAGCCTTGTTCCTCCAAGGGCTCACCTTGTACCCATCTGCTCAGTGATCTGTCTGAAGGGACCTGGGATGGCATATAGGGCCATCTAGTCTCATAGCCATAAGACTAGAAGCTCTCCTGTAGGGACAGAGGCTGAATCACCTTCTTATCAGGGTTATAAGGGAGTTGCAATGCTTCTGAGCTAGAGGGACAATATATCCATTTGAGGGTTGCAGATACCACACCTCTGCTGATCTGGAGGTGAGGGGAGCTCCCCAGGTATTTAGGTCCGTTGGTCCCTGTCACACATGCAGCCCCTGCGTGTTTGTCTGTTTCAGAAATCGAGGAGAAAGGTGTCCGGATGAAGCTGACTGTGATCGACACCCCAGGATTTGGAGACCACATCAACAATGAGAACTGGTGAGTTTTGGCCCTTGGTGCACTTTGCTGGCTGTGCAGATGCTTGGCTGGCCTCGGTCTCCTATCATGCAAGCTGTCTTGTCATGTACCAGCCTTCCTTTCTTCCCAAGGGCTCTGAACCACCACAGAGGGCAGGACAGGTCAGGGCTCATGGCAGAAATGCTGCAGTGTCTTTCTAGGAGTGAAGGTTAAACTGAGCTCCGTCTCAGCAGCAGCGGGGAGGATGGAGCTGCTGAACAGCTGGGATGGTTTGGCTGGCTGCAGAGGGAAGCTAATCCCTGCCAGCTTCCTTTTACTTCCAGCCTCTGTGCAAATAGCCTGGGAAAATTTGAATTCAGGTGAAACCCTGATAGCTGACATGGCTGATCCTTTTCCCTTTACCACCTTGGCTTAGAACTGGCGCCTTTGAGAGAAAATCCTAGGAGCAATCACTGTTTCTGAACATCCATCTCACCCCCTCTCGAAGGCTGGGTGTGCGTGCATTATTTTATTATCAACAATTTGTTTACCCTCGAGCACCCTCGCTCTATGGCATAAGCTGAGCACTTTGGGAACATGGTCAAGTGTGACAATCATCAGTGTTGAGCTGGGGGCAGGGGTGGGGGTTGAAGGTTTCTCTGTGGGCAGCAGAGATAAACATAGGTTCTTCTCCCTAGCCCCATCCACACCTTTCACCCCTCTAAAAAAAAATCTTTTAGAAAAGCACTAAAAGCTCCATCGTCTTGTTAGGCTTTGGAGGCTGGTCTGTTGTAGTCTGTACAGTCAGTAGCCAGCTGCTCTTCCCCATTTACCCAAAGGGCAAGACCCAGTGACACCTGCTTACAGGTTGGGATGTGGGATCCAGTTTGGATGAGGAGGAACTGGGAGCTGACTAAGCTAAGCCTTGAGGCCTTCCATGGCTTAGCTGACCTTCCTTTAATATTTCTGCTCTGAAATGGGCCAGAGTCCATACCGTCACAGGATGCAAGACCATTAGTATTAGGCTGGTGGCAGAGAAGCCAGCATGATATTTAGCATTTCCATTTGTTACCAGTGAGAGAAGGTTGCATTTGAGCCCAGCCTTCCACAGGCGTTGGTCGGAAGCTCTGCACTTCCTCCTAGTGTGAGGCAGAGTTCACAGCCCAGGTAGCTGCAGTCTCCTGACGCTGTGCATCCTGATCTCTGTTTGCTGTTAATGGCAGGGCCAGGGGGATTCTCAGGCAGCTGATTCTTTAATAAGGTGCATGAACAAGGTCTGCTACTCCCACAATCTGAAGAGCAGCTAGGTATGTATTACACAGGACTCCTGACTTTTTTTCCTCAGCTGCCTCCAGCCGTTATGACTAGGTGGTCATGGACACTAAGATATCCTTTATGCTCCTGTTCAGGGGCTCACTCCTGAAAGATGGTTATCATTCTCTCTGCTCCTGCTGACTCCCATTAAAACCCTGCCAAGAGGGTGGTCTTGTCTCTTCCTGACTTCCAACTCACCTGTCCATATATCTTTCTGCACAGCTGGCAGCCCATCATGAAGTTCATCAATGACCAGTATGAGAAATACCTGCAGGAGGAAATCAACATTAACCGGAAGAAGCGGATCCCAGACACCCGAGTGCATTGCTGTATATACTTCATTCCAGCCACCGGTCACTCGTACGTATCCTGTATCCAAATAGTTTACTCTTTGTTATAGGGAGGGTAGCATGCCCCCCCTTGGGTCTGTCTGGTGCTGTCTTCAGTCACCCCAGCAGTTGGCAAGAAGGTCACACTCCCTTTGCTCATTGTGAGGCTCTGCAGTCATTTCCTCTAGTCAGCTAACTCTCAGGAGAAGGGGACAGAGCTTTTGCATTAAGTGTCTTATAACCCCCTATGAGTCAGTGTGAACTTCTACCAGAAGTTGCACAGTGACTCTGAACATACAGTCATGCACAAGCAGAGCACAGAAGTGCTATAGCCCAGCTCTCTTCCCCATGCAGCAGGACAAAGCAAACCTAGCCAGGCACAGGTAAAAACAAATATATAGGCATTGTCTTGCCTTTTCCCAAGGGCCTGTTAAACAGCTGACTAAAATCTAGGAAGGGATGTAGTTTTGCCGGGGTCTGTGTGACTGATGTCTGAAATCTGGTGGTATGGTTGAACCCAAATGCGTTTAGGAGTGGCATTTTATTTTTTCCTGGTCATCCAGGCATCCAGATTCAGTCACTCAGGACAGGAAAAAGGTTTGTGGGTAGGCAAGTCCCTCTTGCATCTTAGTCCAGTGGCTAGGGCACTCTCGTGCGATGCTGGAGGTCCCTCTGTTCTAGATCTCCTTCACCTGGAGGGGGTTTGAACCAGGGTCCTTTTTTCCTTCCCAGAACAGCACATGAAGCACTGCACCTCTGGTCAGCCATTACTCTGACCCTTCCCTGGTGCCCTTTTGGAGCTAAACCATTAACACAGTCTTTGAAAAATAGATGGAGGGTGGAACAGTGAAGAGGGGAAGCTTCTGCCACACAGGGCACAAGGGCCCAGACTAAAATCTAGGGCCCTTTCTTCCAGACCAGCAGCCATCTCCTTGAGCCCAACGACTTCTGGCTTGCTTAATTTCTCCTGTCCTTACACATCACCCGCAGGCCTTCCTCTCATGATAACCCGGGGTGCAGTC